TGCCCTGATCCTGAGTTCAGGGGGGTCCTGCTCCGATCCCCCCAGGAGGGGGGGAGGGGAGGGGAAGGGAAGGGCGGTGGAGGCGGGGGGGCCCCAGGTGCCTGCGCCTCTGGAACTAGCCCTCACTCCGGTCCCACCCCCTAGGTGGCGGGAAGGATGACTACGCTCACGCGACAGGACCTCAACTTTGGCCAAGGTAGAGAGGCCGGGCCTGCCGACCGGGGGACCTGCCGACCGGGTACGGGGCGAGGGCGGGTCTGTGCGGGCGGACTTTGCTGAGCGCGCGGGTTGCGCTCCTTGCAGTGGTGGCCGACGTGCTGTGCGAGTTCCTGGAGGTGGCCGTGCACCTGATCCTCTACGTGCGCGAGGTCTACCCGGTGGGCATCTTCCAGAAGCGGAAGAAGTACAACGTGCCTGTCCAGGTGAGCCCCCCCAGCCGGCCGGCGCCACCGGGTCACCCCCTAATCACAGAGTGGGCAGGGAGTGGATGTTAAGCGTCTGTTCCACCTTCAGGCCCGGCCCCCTCGTTCTCCAACGGGGGGACCTGGCCTCCAGGTCCTGACAGCGGCTGGCAGCCTGACAACCTCCCAGCCCCCGCTGCTGCAGCGGCTCCTTCCATCCCCTCTGAACTGGGAGTTCCCCTCCAGGAGTTAGGGACCAGGCCTTCGCAGCGGAGTTGCCCTGGGGCATGGTTGTATTTTAAAAGAATTCTTGAAGCTGGTCTTGAAGTTGCCCTGAGGTTGGTTGGGGGAGAGGATTTCTGTAAACCTCAGGCACCTTCCCTCTGCCCTCACTTTCCCTAATTGTAGGTTAAAAGGGAGACAAAGCCCCACAATACTCTAGAAGTGCCTGCCCCTTACAAGGCACTCAGTAAACATTAGAAGAAACGACTGAATGCTGGAAGGTGGTGGAGCTCGGGGAGTGTACTGGGAAAGGGAAAAGAGCAGCAGCATTGCCTGAGCACCCACTAGGTACATACCTCACTGAATCCTCACTCTGCCTTCGAGATCTTCACAGACGAAGTTTATTAAAGCTCAGAGAGGCGATTTGTCTAAGGCCACATGGCTCCTTCGTTCCAGATTCTTAACTTTTGAAAACTGATTCGATTTCTGGATCCCTTCTCTTAAAGAAGATGCCCATATACTCAAACACAATTTAGGGGTTTCTCAGTCTCTGCAGGAGCTGGAGGACCCCACCGTCTGTTCCACCTTCAGGCCCGGCCCCCTCGTTCTCCAACGGGGGGACCTGGCCTCCAGGTCCTGACAGCGGCTGGCAGCCTGACAACCTCCCAGCCCCCGCTGCTGCAGCGGCTCCTTCCATCCCCTCTGAACTGGGAGTTCCCCTCCAGGAGTTAGGGACCAGTTCGCAGCGGCGGAGTTGCCCTGGGGCATGGTTGTATTTTAAAAGAATTCTTGAAGCTGGTCTCAGCGGCTGGCAGCCTGACAACCTCCCAACCCCCGCTGCTGCAGCGGCTCCTTCCATCCCCTCTGAACTGGGAGTTCCCCTCCAGGAGTTAGGGACCAGGCCTTCGCAGCGGAGTTGCCCTGGGGCATGGTTGTATTTTAAAAGAATTCTTGAAGCTGGTCTTGAAGTTGCCCTGAGGTTGGTTGGGGGAGAGGATTTCTGTAAACCTCAGGCACCTTCCCTCTGCCCTCACTTTCCCTAATTGTAGGTTAAAAGGGAGACAAAGCCCCACAATACTCTAGAAGTGCCTGCCCCTTACAAGGCACTCAGTAAACATTAGAAGAAACGACTGAATGCTGGAAGGTGGTGGAGCTCGGGGAGTGTACTGGGAAAGGGAAAAGAGCAGCAGCATTGCCTGAGCACCCACTAGGTACATACCTCACTGAATCCTCACTCTGCCTTCGAGATCTTCACAGACGAAGTTTATTAAAGCTCAGAGAGGCGATTTGTCTAAGGCCACATGGCTCCTTCGTTCCAGATTCTTAACTTTTGAAAACTGATTCGATTTCTGGATCCCTTCTCTTAAAAAAAAAAAAAAGCCCATATACTCAAACACAACGTAGGGGTTTCTCAGACTCTGCAGGAGCTGGAGGACCCCACGTTAGGAAACCCTCATGCTGGAAGTGCTAACGTTGAGCCTGAATTCGTACCTTCTGGCTTCTCCCCTCTGTGGGTGATTCAGAGTTCTGAGCCCCATGATGGGAAGTTGGTCTCTCAGGTGGGAAGCCTGGGGAGCTGCCGGGCCTCTCTCCGAAGGCAGACAGGCTTGGGCTCCTGGAGGGGGTGGGGGAGGCTTCCCCAGAGGTGCTGGGCCTCACCAGCCATCATGGCATTGTGCGCAGATGTCCTGCCACCCGGAGTTGAACCAGTATATCCAGGACACGCTGCACTGTGTCAAGCCGCTCCTGGAGAAGGTGAGGGCACCAGCCCACCTCACACCCGGTATGGGATGGGGTGATGCTGGACCTGGCAGGGGACCCAGGACTCTCACACCCAGAGGCCTGTTTCCTGCACCCTGGAGACCCCCGAGCCCAAGGACAGGCCCCAGGGCATGTGGGCCAAGAGAATGGTGCGCTGGGCTCTGTGAAAGGTGTGCTGGGCCCCAGAGCCGTCGTGGATGGTTCTGAGTGGGGCCTGCCTGGGAGGGGTCTGGGTTCTCACATCTGTTTCTCTCCCTCCACCCCCAAGTTCCATCTGGGCTTGGCCCCTCAGGGTTTCCTCCTTCTGTTGTGTCTTCTGTGACCCCTAAGGGGCCCCGGTAGTCTCTCCCCTCAGCCTGTACCACTCATGTCAGGGAGTGCCTACTTGAACTTCTCAAACACCTCTCCAGGGGGACCCGGGGACCAGAGGCGGAGCAGGGCTGTGAGTGGGCCCTTTCCCACCCTTCCTGGGGTGGGGGGGCACCCAGTTCCGGAGTAGGAGATTTTTGTCCTTGCAGAATGATGTGGAGAAAGTGGTGGTGGTAATTTTGGACAAAGAGCATCGCCCCGTGGAGAAATTCGTCTTTGAAATCACCCAGCCTCCACTGCTGTCCATCAGGTGAGCCGCCTCCCCGCCACCCACCTGCTAGATGGTGTGAGGTCCTTAGGAGTATCCCACCTTCATGCCTTTAAGCAGCTCCCAGAATACCTTGGGGAAATGCAAGGCATGCCACCTAGCAGGCAGGCCGCCCCGTGGTCTCTGGACCTCACACAGGTTCCATGGAGACCCTCCTGTGTCACACGTGGGAAACCACGGCACTGGTGAATGGCTAGTCCCCACCTCCTCTTTTATAGACGGAGAAACTGAGGTCCGGAGATGTGACATGAACTACCCAGGGTCACCCAAATGGTGGCAGAGCCAGGACACAATCCAGGGTCCTAACTTCCCATCAAGCGGTGTAATCCATAGTCAATTGGTTTGGCTCAGTGGATAGAGCGTCGGACTGCGGACTGAAGGGTCCCAGGTTCGATTCTGGTCAAGGGCACAAGCCTGGGTTGTGGGCTCGATCCCCAGTTGGGGGTGTGTGGGAGGCAGCCAATCAATGATTCTCTTTCATCATTGATGTTTCTATCTCTCTCTCCCTCTCCCTTCCTCTCTGAAATCAATAAAAATATATTTTTTTTAAAAAAAGTTATCCTCTCTGAAATCAATAGAAATATATATTAAAAAAAAAAGTTGACCTTGGGCAGGAATGTTGGCTGGTCAGCTGCTGGCTTCCTGTGGTGAGGTCAGGACAATAGAATGGCCTTGGGCCAGCCCTTTGCCCTCACGGCTGGGGTCCTGGTCCTCAGATGGGAAAGGGGACATTAGCATGTTAGAACCACCTATAGGGGCTCCCTACACCCCTTTCCCCCATCCTGGCTTAATTAGTCTGGGATGGGGCTCTGCACTGGTTTTAAACTCCCCTGGTGACAGGTAGCCCCCTTAGAAGCCAACACTCAGAAGGACTAGAGGGGCTCGGGACCCCCTCATCTGCTTCTGGGGTTGACTGCTTGTGGAGGGGGGCACCAGTGCGATAGAAGACCTGCCTCTTCTCTCCTTCCCAGCTCAGACTCCCTGCTGTCTCACGTGGAGCAGCTGCTCCGAGCTTTCATCCTGAAGATCAGCGTGTGTGATGCTGTCCTGGACCACAACCCCCCAGGTGAGCTCACCTTCTCCTGCCTCTTCCCTGGGCGTTTCCATGGCTACCTTGGGTTGGTCTGTGTTCTCAAGTTCCTCTGAGCCTGGTCTCTTCCTGCTTTTTAGAACTCCTTTCAAAGTCTACATCCTCCAGGAACTTCCCTGGTTAACTCCACTCTGTCTTCAGTCTCTGTTTACTTGTGTCTGAACACTTGCTTTCTTTACACTTTGATCCCTGGGGCTGCTGAGCCACTAGGGAGGTGGGAAGAGACTCTGCCCAGTGGCAGGCATGGTGTGGCCCAGCCTTGATCACACGCTTGCCTCCTCAGGCTGCACCTTCACGGTTTTGGTGCACACGAGGGAAGCTGCCACTCGCAACATGGAGAAGATCCAGGTCATCAAGGTGAGAGGAGACTGGTCAGAGGGGGTGGGCAGTGAGACAGCGGGAGGCTCTGGTAAGCCGATGCCACAGTTCTGAGTGGGCAGGGGTGCTGCCCGTGGGCACTGCACCCATAACGTTGCTTATGACAGTGCCTGGCACCCAGTAGGTCTGGCTGTGTGCTCACTGCGGCCACATGCCTGCCATTGCTACACCTGGGCATGCAGCCCTGGGAGGAGTGGGCTGTGTGCTGGGGCCCCCAGCTCAGTGAGGTTCTCCTTTCTGAGCAGGTTCAGAATTGGTGCTGGGGCTTATTAAGTCACTTAGGTTCCCAGCCCAGCTCTGACCCGCAGGCGTGGCCTGTCCAGTGGAGGAGCCCGGGATTCTGCACTTCCCTAGTGATTTTTAAAAAAATATATTTTATTGATTTTTTACAGAGAGGAAGGGAGAGGGATAGAGAGCTAGAAACATCGATGAGAGAGAAACATCGATCAGCTGCCTCTTGCACAACTCCCACTGGGGATGTGCCCGCAACCAAGGTACATGCCCTTGGCCGGAATCGAACCCAGGACCCTTCAGTCCACAGGCCGACGCTCTATCCACTGAGCCAAACTGGTCAGGGCTTCCCTAGTGATTTGATGGTCCCCAAAGTCTGAGGGCCCCAGCTCTGGAGGTAGAGGGGGAAGGCAAAGGGAGGGCAGGCAGGTCCAGCGCCCTTCCACCCCGTCACCTGGATCCTCCCTAGGACTTCCCCTGGATCCTGGCAGATGAGCAGGATGTCCACATGCATGACCCCCGGCTGATACCCCTAAAAACCATGACATCAGACATTTTAAAGGTGAGCTGCATGGGGACCAGGTATGCTTTATTTAGGGTGTGCTTAAGGCCTTGTGGACAAAGCTTGGAGGTTACCAGGCAACACCTGGCATAAGGCTCCTCCCATCCCCTTTCCCTTCCCCATCCCGGCTCTGGCCATGCAACCTGACACTTGGAGAGAGAGAGAGAGATCTGCCTGCCAGGGGCTTGCAGACCCTCCATATAGGCGCCCGGACTGCCACCTGACACGGCTGTGTGTTCCTGTCCGTTAGATGCAGCTCTATGTGGAAGAACGAGCTCATAAAAACAGCTGAGGGTGTGTCTGCCCCCATGGATGCCACAACTATCGGACTTTGGGGGCCCCCAGCCTCGGGCAGCGCTGCAGGGCCACCCCGCTTCCAAGTGCTCTTATTGCCTCTGTGTGGACTGCCCATCCTCCAGCCCGGAGCTGCTCAGGTCTGGTTGCCTTCACGGAGGAATGGCCCCCCAGGAGGGCAGGAAGGTGCTGGGATCTCAATTTCTCAGCCTCCTGGGGTTCAGCCGGTCAACACTGTCTGTCTCAAATACTGTGCTGTGAGTTGTTTCAATAAAGGGCCCCAAGGGCTGACCTGGGCACTCTCTAATTGTAGTGGGAGGGGCAGGTGCAGCCAAATTAACCTGGGGAAGGGCTGCTTCTCTAACAGTGCCCGGACCCCTTACCCCCCACTCCTAGACCCAACCCCAGGCTGGTTTTACTGGGAACATTTATTATGACAAGAAGTGAGAGCCACACAACAGTGGGTTTGCCCAGGGTTAGAACTGTGGCAGGAGGTCCCGGGGCAAGAGCCTCCCTGCCCACCACAGGCTCATCTCTTGCCTGGAGGAGACCTTTGGCACTTGGCTGGCGGGGACGGAGGGCAGATGAAAGGCTATCAGATCTAGACTTTAGTGGGGTCTGTAGAAATGAAGTGGGGAGGGCAGGTTATTAAAGTCCACATCCCATTCCGCTTCCCATTCCCATTCCTGCTCCTGCCCCTGCCCCTGCCCCTGCTCCTGCTCCTGCTCCTGCGTGGTCTCGGGCTGAGTTGTGGAGGCTGCTGGGTTCCTGGTCGTCTTAGGGCTGATGATGATGCTGCTGTTGGTGACACGGGGCCCATACCAGCCTGCCCAGTACTGGGTGTCTGAGTTGTTTCAATAAAGGGCCCCAAGGGCTGACCTGGGCACTCTCTAATTGTAGTGGGAGGGGCAGGTGCAGCCAAATTAACCTGGGGAAGGGCTGCTTCTCTAACAGTGCCCGGACCCCTTACCCCCCACTCCTAGACCCAACCCCAGGCTGGTTTTACTGGGAACATTTATTATGACAAGAAGTGAGAGCCACACAACAGTGGGTTTGCCCAGGGTTAGAACTGTGGCAGGAGGTCCCGGGGCAAGAGCCTCCCTGCCCACCACAGGCTCATCTCTTGCCTGGAGGAGACCTTTGGCACTTAGCTGGCGGGGACAGAGGGCAGATGAAAGGTTATCGGATCCAGACTGTCAGAGGGGTCTGCAGGAACGAAGTCGGGAGAACAGGTTATTAAAGTACGCATTCCCTAGCCATGGCCGTTCCCGCTCTCGTTCCTGATTCTGCCCCTGCCCCTGCCCCTGCCCCTGCTCATGCTCCTGCATGGTCTCGGGCTGAGTTGTGGAGGCTGCTGGGTTCCTGGTCGTCTTAGGGCTGATGATGATGCTGCTGTTGGTGACACGGGGCCCATACCAGCCTGCCCAGTACTGGGTGTCTTTGCCCCCATGCTGGAAGAGGATGTGGCGGACGCCTGGAGGGTAATCTGAGAAGGTGTGAGAGACCTGGAAGGAAGGGAGAGGGAGTGACCACCAGGACTGGGGAGGGGGTGAGATGGGGTGACCACTCAACTGGAGAGGAGAAGGGGGAGTCCCAGGTGGGAGAGCTGGGGCATCCAGGCCCTGGGGGAAGTGGATGGCAGGCCAGCAGCTGAGGTCTCACCTCTCTCCACTGGGCATCGCTCCACTGCTCGATGGTCACAGGTGGGGGCTCGAAGGAGGCCAAGGCGATGTAGTTGGCTGAGACCAGCTGTACTCGGATGCTGTAGGTGCAGCCACAGTCTGCTCTGGCGGCGAACCTAGGGGAGGCTGGGCTTTAGGACTGCACCCCAAGACAAAGGGTGGCCCTGGCAGTGGGCAGGCAACAGGCTTACAAATTGGAGTTTCGTTTCCCTATGGGGCCCATGGGGTCCACCTTCAGTGCTCCCTGTACCCCCAGGGTGTGCAGTCCCTATCTGTGCCAGGCCTCAGTTATTCCATCTGAGAAAAGGGCAACCCTTTTGAGTATTTCAGAGATTGCATCTTAAAAGGCAAAAAGCTCTCAACAGAGATAGTAAAGGCCAGGCTGTGGGTTCAATGGCAGATTAAAGGGGTGGCCTGTGTGGTGTGCGCTGGCACAGAGCTCAGCCCTGCTATCTCCCCTGCCCCCAGCAGTTCTGCACATTCCTCAAATCCCACCCCTCCACCCTCAGTGGTGGCCCTGGGGCCCTGCTTCTGCCATGGGCCAAGGCAGAGCGGCTGGCACAGCTCTGTGCAGAGAGGAGCTTGAGAAAGAGTTGTGGGATAAATGGTGGAAGGGGCAGGGGAGGCAGTGAGAAGGCATGTGCGCAGATGTGAGGTCCGGGAAGGCTGGGTCTTGGGTGTCTTGCTCTCGTGAGTGTCTGAGATTAACTCATCTGTAGGCCTCAGTCTCCCCATCTGTAAACTGGGGTTAAGGTTTATCCCCTGCTGATGTGATGGTGGGGAGGCCAGGAGGCGCTGCTGGATGAGCAAGTGCTGGGTCTGTCCACAGGAGGTGTGTGTTGGGGGCGGAGGGGGCAGGGAACAAGCCAGCCGGGTTGGCCTGGCTTCGGGGACTACCCTTGCCTTAGGACACTGCTGGGCAGAGTGGGCACTCCCTCCAGGTGTTCTCAGGTTAAGGGGAGGATGCAGTGTGGGGCTGGGCCTCACTCACCAGTCCTTCACCACGATGTCAGGCCGGATTGTGTCCATTAGTTCCTCCCAGTAGCCCTCAGCTTTGAGGTCCACCATCTGGGACTTGAGGCATAAGCTGGGGAGCAGAAGGAAAAGCTTGTATTCCTAGGTGTGCTCTGCGTGGCCTGCACCCAGGGAGGTGGTTCAGGGGACCCAGCAGTGTGTCCCCTGACGGCTTCAGGACAGCTCCTGGCTGGTGCTGACGCTGGCTCCGACCTCGGTGTGGGCCCATGAGAAATACGCAGGGAGTTGACTCCCTTGTGCCTGGGCAGCACCTGATCCCAATCCATACGCCCAGTCTCCCGGGGCCCCAGGAACTCACGTTCCTCGGTTATGGACAGCCTGTGGACACTCCACTGCCCCAGGGGCTCCCAGCCCCCTTAAACCGATCCCCACCCCCAGTCACTGAGTTTACTTCTGCCCCAGGAGGCAGTAGACTGAGCTGGTTTGGGGAACACCTCCCTTGAGCTTCACAGAGGCCCTGACGTAGGTAGGCCTGGGGTTTGGCAAAAGGTGTCCCGACCCTCTTCCTCCGACACAGCCGGCTCAGTTCAGTTTCTTACTCATAAGATGTGACGAAGTACTTCTTGACCTTGGAGTCAGGAAAACCTTGCCCATGGCCTCCAGGAAAGCTCTCCACCTTCCAGTGGTTCCCCCCATTGCGGTCAATTTTCCAGGATCTCATACCCTCTAGGAAAAATAGAAGCCTAGTAAATGTGTAGCCTGGTCCTCCCCATTTGGCACGAGGGTGAAATGCAGGGCTTGCTCATGCTCTGATCTCCAGGTGTGCACCCCAATTGTGCCTTGGAGCACCCCTACAAAGTTAAACTCCAACCCATTCCCACCTCTCCCCTCCCACTTGTGCCTGACCAGCTTGACTCCTACATGAAGCAGGGGGCGGGGGCACTACTTTCACTTTCATGTTGCTGATGCCCTTTGGGAAATACCCAAGTTTCAGTTCTCAGAACATTGTGAAGGGCCTGTGCTGGTACTTTAGTTCTTAATGGCTAATGTGAATTTGTCCCAGTGGGGATCACTCAGTTGACAACTGACATCCCCCTCGACATCCTCACTATGTAACTGAGATCTGAAGGGTGTGAGGTTTGTTGCTGGGTCATAGGAACTTCTGGCCTGGGTGGGAGGGATGATAATTGGGAGAATGGGTGCCCTCTGAGTTGGTGGCATGTAGTAACCCCGTATTCATGGGAGCATCCCCACCAGGTTGGCTCACCATGTCCTGGTCTCCCTCTTCAGAGAGAGCTGAGAGGAACTTAGAAAACTGGCGTGTTTCTCCCCAAGGTTTTCCAGAACAATCACCAGGGGAGCTTTTCCAAATTACTCCCCTGCTCCCTCTATAAGGAACCCACATCTATTCCCTGTGTGCCCAGGGTCCCCCCAGTAGAGAGCCAGACGGGTAATACAGTGCCCCGTGCAGGCAAGGCTGCAGGCTGGGGTTGTGAGCTGAGCTGGTGGCCAGGCTGGGCAGCTTCTGAGAGGGGCCTGAGGGCCTCCAGCAGCTGAGCATTTCTGGATCTTTGGGCAAGACACATCTTGCTTGCGGCCTAACATTCTCATCTACAAAATGGAGCTAACCCTCCTCATGCGGCCGACTCCTGGATCCACATGAGGATAAAGAGAGAAAACAGACATGAGAGGGATTCTAAGTCTATAAACAACGCCTCTGCATCAACTGCTGCCGTGGCCCCAATAAGGAGCAAGGTGCCTGGTATGTAGTAGGTACTGAACAAAGGAAAACACCCTGGCAAATAAAAGAGAACTTGAGCTAAACAGGGAACTCAAATGATGTGATTGCAGTCACCTCTCAAAATCCTCATTTTCATCTGTATAATTAGGGTAACGGGAAGATTATTGACATTTGGGAAGAGTTCGGGCTAGTGCCTGGCCCGTAGAGGAAGCCTCCTAAACGTTAGGCAGCTTAGACTGAGCTAAAGGGGGAAAGGTGGACCTGAAGTTGGTTGATTCTTCAACGAACGTTTTCTTGAGCCCCTGCTATGTACTGTGGCAAGCTAGACCCACTAGGTCCCTGGAACTTGAAGGGAAAAAAAGAGAGATAAAAAGGTAATTCTAGGGTATGAAAAGTGCTATGAAGGAATTAAATGGGGGTGATAGGACTGAGGTAGGGAGCACTGTTTCTGGATGGACCAGGGCAGGTCTCTGAACTGAGACCTCAAGAATGAGGAGGAAACAAGGGAGCCTGGTGGGGGCTCAGCTTTGAGAGAACATTCCCGCTAGTATGGGCATAGCAAGTGCAAAGGCCCTGAGGTTCCCGAAAGGGAGGAAGGAAGCGGCCCACCTTCAGCACATGGGTTGCGTAGGAGGTTCCTGCGGAGGATGCACAAAAAGTAAAAAATCTTCCAGTCAGACACAGGCTCGTCATAGTCCTCGTTGATGAGGCCCTCACGCAGGCTCTTGCGTTTCCAGAGGGTCATAAGGTCGATGAGGTCGCGCCAGTGGCTGCAGACAGGACGGCAGTCCAATACCAGCTGACGGGCAGGCACGTATGTGAATACCTCCAGCAGGATGTTCTCAGGCAGTTCATTGATGCTGAGCAGGGCCATAACTGGGCTGGGGTGCACACACA